GTCATTACACTGTCAATACCAACCTCACTATCACAGTCTCTTATTGATGCCATCAATAACAAAACAAACTCAATGAGTAGATTAGGAATATTGGAAGTTGCTGTTGACAATAAAGCAATTCCTATCAGAAGAAAGGATGATAACAATTTTGACGTTTCACTCCATGAATCAGTTAAAGCTTGTGAATTTTTTGAAGTATCAATGCTACTTCAGTTAGGAGCTGATCCTAACAGTAAAGATGAGAGAGGAAAGAGTGCAGTAGAGATAGCTAAGCAAAGAGGACACACTCAAATGAAGCAAATACTATTAACTGGTGGAGGTGAGTTATTTGATACTAATATTAACACACACACATAATATACCATTAATACAGTAAACCCTCTATTAAACACTTTCTATAGACCATACCCTATAGGGTGCTAATTTCTGCAAGTAATTATTGCATTACGGTATCCACCCACACTCATGATTTGGACGGCAAGATAGTGAGATACAGTGTAGCTACATGGGGAAACAAAGGAACAAGAGGCCTTCGTGGTTTCCAGAGCTTAACTAACTGGCAATAAATGCCAGTAACAGTGAAGAATAAAGCCCAGAATGTCTCCTGAGAAAAATCTTCATTGCACTTGCAGCCACCTGTCCACAAAGGCTGCTTTTGGCCTCCTGTCTATTGTTTTTGCCTTGTTTTGCTTTTTTGAAATTTTTTCATTAAAGAATGCGGATAGGATACGGAAGATTATGAATAATGTCTCATATACAGAATCTATAATTGCTTCTAGAAGTTAGCACCCTATATAGGGTCTAGTGATGGGCGATTCCAGAAATTTGCATTCGATTCCGATTCTGAATACTTTTGAGACTGGAATCGAATACCAATTCTGAGTATTACATCTGCGCATACGCAAAGCCAGGTGTTATCAATTACAGCAATAAAAATGCAATAATGATCAATAATTGAAGTATTAACTACTGATTAATTAACTATTTTTAATATTAAAGGGTGTGGTTTGATTCGGAATCGTTTCAAACGATTCCTACTTCTCTTTTGATATGAGTACGATTCCATTCGGAATCGAAGTATTGAATACTCCGGACTCGGAATCGCCCATCACTAATAGGGTCTATAGTGTACACCTCCTAATGGACAATATAAAATAACCTCCACATAAAGGACACCTCTGTATAACAGAGACACTTTCACACCCCATTGTATAGAAGTACCAGTGATTGAGTTTGACAATATAGAAGTACCAGTGATTGAGTTTGACAATAAAACTTTATAAAAATATTAAAAATAAACACAATAAAAATTACCAAAACTCATAGTCAGTATTATTGTAAGTTATCATATAGAATCTTCTGCTCTAAAAAAGAGAAAGAATGAAAAAAGAGAAATATCATTTAAACGCAAAAATTCAAAACAGATATACTATATCCCAACTGAGTCTGACAAAAGAAAACTTAATAACTTTTCAGTTATAGGAATGTGGGATAAGGACAAGACTTTCACAGGTTCTTAGTCGCCCAATGCCATCACACGATCTCAGGTCTTGGGTCTCTCAGCCCTTGGGAACCCTGAGAACCGGGTTCTCCCTATAAAGCCAATGGCATACCAAAATGATGTTTTATGACAATTTGTCTACGTCATAGTTTACATAAGAACATGTAGTCATTTGCCCAAACTGATAATTCTTCTTTTAAAAAGCTAACAGAGCAAGATCATTTGATAATGATGGCCTTTATGAAGACTACCGTAGATCGGGAAATTTTTGTGTTAAAAATAATTGGTGTGAAATTTTTTCAAGGTGTTTTATTTTCGTTGGTTGACCCATTCACGAAATTTTTTAACACAAAAATTTTGGATGCGTTATAAATGGGACACATGGCTACTAACTCTTGACAATGGTGGACTGCTATTCGATGGGAGTTGCTTGTGACAGCACTGAAACTGACAAGGAGCCTCTTGGGTGAGAGCTTCAGGCCTTCATTGGGCTTTTAGAAGAGCCTCGTGCAAGCCGTGCATGCACTACTGCACGTTAGAATAGATTAATTTCGGTAATCTAATTATTCACTGTAGAAAATATTTCGTGTGTCAAAATTTCATGGGTCACTTCAACCACGAAAATATTTTAACAATGAAAATTTCCCGATCTACGGTAGTTGACTCCAGCAGCTATTGTACTGCTTATCAGAACAAACAAAACCCATTTAAGAGTGAAATACAGGCCAATCATGCAGCTGTAAAATATCAGCCTTGCTTCTATGAATATCATTATAAGACATCATTAGTGAATAGTGATGTATGGCTACATATTTCAAATTGCAAGCAGCTGCTGTCAAACTCAGTTGGGATATGTTATAATTACCAGATACATGTATATGGTATATGCTTACATTAGCTTGTGCTTTGAAGTTGACTAGCTGGCATAATGGACCAAGGACTATGAAAAGAGAGAGAGAGAGAGGGAGAGAGATAGAAAATGAGAATGAGAGTGATGAAGGGAGAGAGAGGGAGGGACAATAATTATTGATTCCAATACATTAATAAAACGTACAATTGATTTTTGTTTACTGTCACATGATAAAAGATAGACCACACCCATTCCATCCTACCAGCTGTAATGACTTACTGGTACAAAAACCAGCATCACCTGGAACAACACACAAACAAACATCATTAATAAAATAATATAATATTATCATTTTACCTATTATACTGCATTAAAATAATAATATACACACATTAACTGACTGACTGTGTTTATTATTAGGAGAAGAGACTGGAGAGGTGAAGTGGACCTGGTATGGTAGTAATGTATACCTCGAAAAACCATCAGCAGGTCAATGTCAGGAAGTGATCAGTCAATTAACGGACAGTCATGAGGACATTTACCTCCATCACTCATCACCTGATATTGTATAC